TTAATGACCATGGTAATTCACTTAACAACCATGTGATTTGCTTAACTACCATGTGACTCACTTAATGACCATGGTAATTCACTTAACAACCATTGTAAAAATGTCACAAATACCAATCACGTGACCAGGGGGTCATAAAGCACTTTTCCCAAGGCTGTCATAACTCTGGACTGGCATTGAACAAATGGTCATTAAGTGAGGACTACCTGTACCAGAGAAGATCTGTTCTTCTTACTACATGGTGAAGTTACCTTGTGGTATGAAAGAGGAAGCACAGAGAAGTCTCCAAATTCCTCCTGTCCAACCAGCATAACTGAAACAATCATCACTACTAACACTTTCAAACAACTTCTCAGGGTCAAGTAATGGAAAATAACTCTTTCAGGCACTGTTTTGCTGTGTCTCCCTCTAAGAAACCAAAACATCTGTGGTGTAGTTGTAATTTCAACCCTTCCTCATCTGGGACATAGTCATTGATTAATATGAATCATAACAATCCTGTTTCAGAATAGGGGAGAAATATTTCAAGCCCAGTATTGTCATTGGTACACCTTAAGATTTAATAGTGAATAAAGAACTAGTTATGACCAAGCAAAAATACTCTTGGCTATTTGCAGAAAAGGCAGACCATTTTTAGCAATATAGAAACCCAATAAAATAAAAGGATTTGATTTAATGAATATGTACATGTAACAAAGATTTAAAAGATGTGTTTAAATTAGAAACAGGAATGTCTGACATCCCATTTTACTCATATAGTTAAACTCACAGTTCTTTATATCCAGTTTAAGTGGAAAGGTTGGTATTTTTCATCTAGAAAAAAAACTGAAAATAGTTTTTGGGGGTAAGATTATTTATGGAGAAAGGTAGGTATAAATTGATTGTACAATATTAAGGCTTAAAGCATTTTGAGAGAAAAAAACACAAGAGGTACATGGGAGCAAATTTAAATTTAGTGTGGGAAGGTAAATTAACTATAAAACAGAAACAGCTAGAAAGTATAGCATTGTAAAGCTTTAAAAACAAACTTCATTTTAAAGGTTTGTTTAGAGTCTCATAAAAACCACCTGTAAAGCTGTAACTGAGATGCTCACACCATGCACTCTGTGCCCTTTGGAACAGCCTCACTCATCACCTCTGACTTGCATGCTGAAATGGTAGCACAGTTGTAGCTGTCAGATATACCAAGCCTTAACTCTGAGAAGCTGAAGGACTAAAATTGCCATCTGCAAATCACGCAACTGACTGGTTCCTACTGAAGCCAAAAGGGAGCATCCATAGTGGAGAGGCATTGCCTTAAATGAATTGTGAAATATGGCTTCTGCATGAAACAGAACATCCCGTTTTTAGTTGCAACTAATATGGCAACTAATTTAGACTAAAAGATGAATGCAGATATAAAGAGATGACACATGATCCTCAGGTGTCAGCCTTCAGCAATTAGAAAAAATCAGGTTCGGGCCCCAGGTATCTTATTTAGAATTTACTGCCTTCTATTGCATTTTCAACACCCTAGGGTAGAGTTGGGACAGCGTAACCATTAAAAATGCTGCTGGAAAAACAGCACAGGCACAACAGTAGATGCGAGCATAAAGTACACAGGATTTGCTCCAAGGAACATCTGATGACTAAGGGAAAGATGTGGGGGTGGGATGGGGAAATGGTCTGGCAGATGAAGTTGAGCTTTATCAGTATGGAACTAGATGGTTGATGGATTTACTTCTATAGGTGGGCTCAAGCTAGGGCTTATGATGGAGAACAAAAACAACAGCCCCATAGAAAATGGAAAAAGGACCTTCTGTAACAAAGAGGACTATCATCAAATTCAACTTCCTCTGGAAGTTAAGCTGTAATTCTGTATACAGTGGGACATATTTCTAAAGAGTTTGCCCTGAGCGAGAAAGCTGGCTCAAGCAGATTGGCCTCCAGAAGATGCTCCTTGGAGAATTCCACAAAAGGAGGCAGAAAGCCGCTTCCAAAACCTGCAGTGATTTTAACAGATTAATCCGCTAATCAACTGTGCATAAGGATGCCCATGAAAATGGTTATTCTAAAGAAAAAATATGTATTGAGATGTGTTGCAGCAGGCATCCTACTTGGCCTTTTGCTGGGAGGTCAGGGGCTATGAAAAATGGGGGAGATGAGGCAAAAAAGTAGGAGGGATCAAGGCAAAAACTAATTTTGAAATGAATTAAGCAGTTAGGACCATGACTATACATATATTAAACTTTCTATTACTGTTCTATTAATATTTAACACTTGGAAGGTGGTAACACTTGGAAGGGCTCTAGAGGTTCTCCCAAGCCTTCCAGGAGACACGTGCGACCCAGGTATCTCAATTTGTGCAGGTGGGATATAAGGATTCACAGACATAACTGAAAACAGGTTAAGAGAGTGATGTACTAACCCCACACGTATCTTCAGCATGCCATTAAATAACTCAGGGGAGTTGGAGATGATCCAGCCAATATGAATGACAAGTTCCTGTTGAAGAACAGCTTCTCTCTCGTCCTGCAAATTACACTTGTTGTAGATGATGTCTTTAATTGCACTTGGAGACAAGGGATTAGATATAATTTCTTCTTCTTGGCCAAATGCCCCAAGAGTCACCTAAAGGAATATATTAGCAGTAATTAGAAATATAACCCAAACCAGGGAAGCAGTGAGGGACTCCTTATTCATTCTATCTCCTTGTCTCAAAACTCCTGGTTTCCAACAAGACTGGACAGAAGGGACATAAATAGAATGCTGAGTTAAAATCACAGCTGATGGTTAAATGGAGATTTGCATGCCTCTATTATTGCATGCATCTTTAAAAAAAAAATAAGTTTGTCCCTAAGGGCAGAGTAATGACTTGGGAGAGTGTATGTTCAGAAAGAGGTTTGATCTATCCTGTTTATTTCTTATGATTAAAACTAGCTAGGCATAATAACATATAAATTATTCTGGTCCCTTCTCTGGAGGGGGCAATGTTCTTTCTCCATGTCCACCAATAATTCCCCACAGCTCAAAGAGTTGCCAGATTTGAAGTGTTCCTTCTAGACTACCAAACCAGCAGAGACTAACTTAACCATCAGCTTCAACTATCCCTCAGTTCCTCTCCAATCTTAGAAGGAAGGAGCAGGGGACAAAAATAAAAACAGTTGGCTTGTAGGGTACCAATTTAGATTACACTGGGGGATGTAGGAATACATTCAAGTGCTTATACATTCAAATACTTATTGACTACGCTCCTCATGTTTAAGGGATGCTTCACAATATTTTCTATTCTACATTTTAATGCAACGCTAGTCCCAACTATGAGTAAGGCATCACATTTTCTGACTCTGAGTGTGTTCTTCACATGCTTTTGATGTCAGGGCAATCATAATGCTATCTGTCCCTCTCAGGATTAAAAGGCTTCAGTTCTTCCCAATCTTCCAAGTTAATTCAAAGAAACCATTACCATCACCACTCCAGCTTCAGATAGGGTTAATTGATATCTCTACTGGTGTTCACCATGGTAAGGCGAAGATGAAGAAGCTTTACCTCTCACAGGGAACTTAACATGAATAGGTAATTAATTTATTTCCTTAACAACTGTGACGGGACAGACAGCATTACATCTTTACTGGCTCTTTAATTCAAACAAAAGACACTGGATGGACAGGACACCAACAGCCAAAGCAAAGGACAACAAAAAGGGCCAAATCATGCTAGGCAAGAATGGGCTATCAAAAATGACTGCATTGCATATTTGTAATGGAAAAGCCCTCTATAAAACTGTATTACCTCCATAATGCTAGTTGGCCAGAAGTAGGCATAGTGTTTTATAAACATGTCTGCTCAATCAAATGCAACATGGGTCTCAAAGCTATACCCTACGTGTATTGGTTAGAGGTGCTTAAGAGGCTACCAAATTTCAGATGACAATCTCTGGCAAAAACATCTGTAGATAAACTTAGCAAAATCTGGACCTTTCAAACGTATAGAGAAAGACTGTTTTTTAAAAATCTTCTTAACCTATTAAATCTAAAGGGGAAAAAAAAAACCTTTGCAAAAGAAATGCTTCCAGCACACCTGACCTGAAGCTACATTAGCCTCTGAAATTGATTTACTTCCTTGAAGTTGATTGGATTATCAAGCCTACAGTTAATCACTTATACCTTTACACTTTGAAAAAAGTATTGGAAGTTAATGAATCAGTAACAGAGTTCCAGCCATTCCTAAGAAAATTCTCTAATATTTGTATCTCTAAGTATGGAGGCTCCTAATGTGATTTAGAACCCTGGATCCTAAATATATTTAAACCCTGGATCCTAAATCTTGGACAGAACCTTCAGTGTAGACAAGGATCCACAGCATTCCACATGGAAAAAAATTAAGTCTATGTGCGCTCAGGCAGGGACCTGACTTACTCTGTGTAACAATACCAGGCATTAAGCATATAAATGATACAATAGTACAGTATCTCCTACAGCAATATAAGGAAAGCAACTTACATCTGAAAGATATACAATATTGTTCTCATTTTACAGCTACAGTATAAAACCAGCCTGTGCCAAGGTCCCCCAATTTTGCTAAAATTTGTGCTAAATTTTGAAAATAGGTTTACCAAATTCAGAAGAACAGAGAGAATGTGTAACCCTCCAGTTAGTGTTGAATTCCAGCTCATGTGAACCGTAGCTGATGTTGATGGAGTTCAACAGGATCTGGAGTACCTTCTGTTGACCAGCAAAACAGAAAAATCTGCCAAATGGGCAACAGCTACAGTAATTATATGGCACTGTACATTATTTATGATCTTAAAATCTATTTTAAGGTTTGTGTATATGTATACAAATAAATAGCCCAGGGTTTTTCTGCTTGGCTTTAACCTGAATATTAAAGATATTATTTTTCTCAATGATGCAAATTCTGTCCCCCAACTAAACTGAATGAAAAAAACTGGATAGCGTTTTAAAGGTAGACCTCTCAGGAAGGGAACTAAGAAGCATAACCAACATGTTAACCACCGTTAACAAGAAGTAAGAAAAGATGTTCACAAGCTCTATAAAAAGGCTAACAGTGCAAGGTTGAACAAATTACCTAGACTGGACCTTCATAATTTTTAAACACTTTTTTTTTTGTTCATTCTTCTTCTTTTTTTAAAGCATAGTTTGCAAGTGATTTTGAAAGCCTACATCTTATGGTTTACCTGATTAATATAATCTGAAAAATGCAGACTTACCTGCTTGCCCTGAACTAAAACATTAGTAATAGATGGGGCAAGGCTGTCCACTAGCTTACATAAAAGGCTTGCTGCGAAGCGCACAACAGACCTGAGGGTAGAAAACAAAGCAATCCAGCTGGAAATTAAATGTTAGTTTGATGAATTCAAGAATTTGATTGAAAGTTTGTTGCCATGCCTGACCAATGACTAAACATTTACATTTGTATATGGTATTTGGACCCAGGGTACCTCTTCATAAAATTGGGTGGAGGAGTGGCTGGTGGAAGAGCAGCTAAATCATGAATTATTCAATTATAGAAGCAAGAACACTAAGGATTGTACTGGAATAGCACTTATTAAACTACATAAATTGTAAGAAAATGCTGTTCTTTCTTGACATCATGGGAAGATTGACATCATGTAAGGAGCCAGTATTTTATTACTTTACACTTCCCTGGCAATTTGCATTAAAAATCTCTCGCACAGGTAGATGTTTTGAAACTTCGGAATTTGATTTTCCATCAAATTGTACTGTTCCATTTTTGCACAAGAAATCAAGGACTTCCAGCTTTCTCAAGAAACTCCTTAAGAAAGCAGAAGTCCCATAGTTTTCTGTTGTACAGGAAAGGACAAAACTTGCAAACTGTATTTAGCATCCATTAACAAACTCCTAGTCCTGAAAATAAAACATTACGTATCCCTCTCTTCATATGCAGTCAATGATTTTCAACAGCCTCTTTCAGCCAATCACCAAACACCAAAGGTTTAATGATGGATACAGATGGCAATGAGATCATCACAAGCAAGTTTACTTTCTGATAAACAAGAATTAAGGATAAGTTATAGAGGCAGCCAACACATGATGAAAATTACAGGTGATTAGACAATTATCTGATCAATGCAACTGCATAACAATCATGGCCATATGATTGGATTAAATGAGGGTGGTTAATCTTTCTTTCTTAGAATGAACAAAATGCACTTCCGCTAGCAAACTATCTGTCTACCCATTCATCCATCTATCCATCTGTTGCTGGACTACACTGCTTAGATATCAGAAAGCAAATGCTTGAATGAAATAAAAAAGAACATTATTAAGAAAGTGGCAGGACTTTTTTTCTTTCTTCATGATCCCATTTTCCTTCTGTGTTATTCTTTTAGAGGTATACCTGAAGGCAAGGACTGGGTTTCTTTTTCTGATTGTAAGCTGCTACAAGAGTGCAATAAAAATCCTATGAAGAAGGAAAGAACAGAGGAGAGGAGAGGAGAGGAGAATATACTCTACCTGCATATTGCCCCCGCCACTTCTTATACTTGCAATTTTATTTTATTTGGAGCATTTATTTTTGTGTATGAAAGGAGCTTTACTGTTTAATGTGAAAAAAAAGAATAAGAAAGTATTCTTTGTATTCCCTGCCCCTCCAAAGGACACTTCACAATTTGGGGGATGGCACTTCTCCCCAGAATCAGTATGTTGTTTCTGTCTCCCTATCTGTCTGTCTACCTACCTACCAACCTACCATATTGGAATTAATGGGTAAATCTTATACAAAAGATGCAACACAGATAACTAACCTCAGCAAAAACAGCAGTAGAAGGATTCTCTTTCTCCCTCCGTGTGTGTGTGTGTGTGTGTGTGTGTGTGTGTGTGTGAATGGACTTAAAGAAAATGAGACCATATAAAGTGCTAGGATTAAAAACGGGCTGAAGCTTTTCAAAGTGATTTGCTATTAATACAGCTATTACGCTAGAAAACAAACTGGATATCCCATGTTGTCTAATACAGGCTTTGGAAGTAGAATAATGACGTATCAGAATTAATGAATGAGTGTGTGATAGTCTGCTAAGTTAGCACAAAATCCATCAGCCAAATTGATTTTGAGTTTGACGACAATGGATGCACACACTCTTCAAAATCAAGTGCAAAGCTTTTTTTTTTTCTCTTGCAAAAACATGAACGGATACCATCAAAATGCAAATCAGCCACACGTCTCAAGCAGTACTGTTTCAAACCTGGATGCACTTTACCTGCTTCCCATGGACTAACAAAGTTGTAATATGGGGGGCTAAAGAGGAAGTCAATTTCTGAATGCATGCCGCACTGCAGCGTAGAACCAACCTAGATTTAGTATACAAAATTTATAAAAGAGGGGTTCAAAAGAAGACGATTTTCACACCTACTCTAAATACAATCCTCTTGGTAGTCCAAGTATTTTGAGCACTAGTTTAGGCTTTCTGAAGTGGGTGAGAGCTGTTCCTTGTGAATCAGAACTTGGATTTGCAAAACTAGTCCTGTGATATATCTTCACATGTACAATTAGGGAATTCTCTATTACTCGATTCACTGGTGGCCCTAGTTTATTTATTCGCTTACTGTTTTAAGGGTGAGAAGAAGCCTCCCTAACTAGGCTCCTTGAAGATGTTTTAGAGGTTCAATCCTAGCTAGCATGATTTAATGGTCACCAATAAAGGGAGTTGTCACCCAAACTCAGGTAAATTAGACCATTTGCCTAAAATATTTTATTTATATTTATTTATTTATATGTTAAATTTGGTCACCACCCATCTCACTAGGGAGCAACTCTGGGTGGCTTACAGTAAACACAAGAATAAATATTAATTAAAATACAGTAAAAATACAGTAAAAACCATTCATACATAAACAATAATATTTCCTAAGGTACTGCTGGTAGGTAAGGATATTAACCTACAGAATAACTGTGACACCATGAAGAGAGGTTGTACCTCTCTCCCAGAAACAATGGGCTGGTGGTTGTACACAGAACGCTAATCTAACACAGCCATTCTTATAACCTTGGCCAATTACGTTCTATTCTGAGATCAAAATGGGTTGTGGAAAGATTGTGAGACACCTTTTCTTATACAACTGTGGGAGAAGAGCGGGAGATGCCAAAGGAACCTAATCAAAGCCTAAGAGCCAACATGGGTAAGTGTATTGTTTCCCAACACACCTCACTATACAACTGTGATATCAATACACCTCGCTATCAAAACTGATATGGAAAGCAAGGCATCAAAGAGATCCTAACCGGCTGGGAAGCGGAGATCATGGATTTTCAAAACAGCGTAACTGTTTAACATTTAGTAAATATAATTTAATAGATGACTAGTTTCCAGAGCAACAGGATAAATTCATCAAATTAATAATATCCACATTGCAGTTAACATACATCTTTTATAGCACCCTTACAGCACACGTTGCGTAATACCAATAATGCCCTGTTTCAGCAATCTGCGTTCTCTTACTCTGTATTACCGCTCAGAGAGTAAATCCTTAGCAAAGGTACTAATGAGCTAGACCTAGTGTCTATGTCAGTGTTTCTCAACCTTGGCAGCTTAAAGATGTGTGGACTTCAACTCCCAGAATTGCTGGCTGGGGAATTCTGGGAGTTGAAGTCCACACATCTTCAAGCTGCCAAGGTTGAGAAACATTGGTCTATGTGTTAGTACTCCATTCTGAAGCAAATGAAGACGAGATTCACCTATCTATGAATGAATGCAGATGAAAAGTTTACAGGTGGCAATCCAACCCTAACTTAGCTTCCACCTTCTGTTTTATAAATTAAGCACTGACTCATATAGCCAGTACCAGCACACTGAGACATATCCATCTGAATCCCAGGAGACATGGCTTATGCAAAATGAGTAGATGTGTATCCGCTTAAACTGCCCCAAATGAGCGTAGACTGCAATGCAAAAACTTAACATGGAACTGGAAAGTATACAAACCAGAGCTTTTTGCTGCCAGCTTTTCGGTATATTCTTTCAATGTGATCAGAGACAGTGCCTAATTCGTACATAAAATGGCAAAGACAAAAACACAGGGAAACAGTATGATTACACTGCAGCTGTATTTCCACGTTATCAGCTTATCTTATTCCAGAGGTTAATGGCAGCATTACCAACTACTCCCGCTGTGGGAAACAGCAGATGAACACCACTTTTCCACACAGGTTTATGCAAATATTTAAGCAGATATGGATATTTTGTTTAAAATACCCTTCAGGTTTCTGGCAGAAATCAACAGTTGTACCTTGTTTTCTTCAGCAACTGTAGCCTGCAGTGCTACTCTGACAGCATATAAACTAGCCTACACTTATGTAATTTGATTCCAGCTGAATAACTACCATTCCAGCATTAAAATTTATGCTGGGATTTCAAGTAATGTTTTGGGGAATTGCTTTGCGCTCATGTGCTAGCTGGGTTCTCCTAAGCTCTTCTTTGTACTGCTTTTAAGAAACTGGGCCATGAGAATGACTTTGCTGGAACATGGTAGATTAGCCAAAAACAGGAGCAAACAGCTGGGAAGAATTATTTAAACGCTATGAATCCCAGCACAGATTTTTGCTGTAATCCTTCTTTAGAGATTCAGTATTTATTATATAATGCTAAGAACAACCAAAAACAAGTCCTTCCTATAGTACTAAAAGGCGGGGAACCCATCATTCCAAAATTAGAATTAAAATACACAAATCAGGCTTTGAAGTAGGAATAAAGCAAAGGAAATAGAATACACAAGCTGACCAGGGTGCCCTATTTGATATGAATGTTTTGGTGGTATGAGGATTTATGTTTTCATTAGCAAGTTGAGGGTGGTTGTTACGATGTATTTACAATAAGGCCTTTGAATACTTAAAAGTAATGAAAGACATTTTTAAATGGATGTGGCTGTTAAGAGCCCCATGGGAATATTATCCTACTCTATTACATCACTATTTTCTATAATACGTGTCCTATAACACATAAGGTACGATACAAGACAAAATGTGAAAGAGCACACAACTCTGCTTCATTTTAGTAGATGGACCTTGCTTCCTCCAATGGCTTGTATGGAATCATAAACGGTTCCACAAATAGCATGCAAGCTATTTAAAAGAGTCAATGCAGGCAACGGTTCATTCCACTTTCCGGCATGCACCCTCTCTTTCCCGCTTCAAACAGAAAGTGCTTTAACAGAGAGCAAGTTAGCAATGCTGCTCGCTCTCTGCATGTTGGGTATTCACGTTCCACGAACAGATAAGCCACAGAGCCTCCTGCCACAGTACCTTCCTTGGTGATGAAATGTGGACCTTCCCTTTTGAGCAAAATGTTCAACAGAATTATCTGACTTGCTAGGCAGCTGCAGTCCTGTCAAGGAATCATCATCAAAAGTAAAGGGTTAGTAGGGAGACGTGGGAATCTCTCAAGGTTAAAGAACAAACCCTGCTGATTGTTTGTTGAAGCTGTGGACGAGACACACGGGGGCCTTCTGCTTAAGTGGGGGCGGGGGCGTGAATCTCTTCTGACACAGCAGCCCTCTCCATCATTTCCTATGCTGGCAAGTAATGCTAATGGGGATACTTTTTCAAATCTCAAATTTCTTCCTTGACTTTTATAGGAAGATCTCGCTTTGGTCACTGGGACCTTTAAAAATACAGGAGCAGTTTCTCAGTATAAATGAGGACATAAGCTATCAAGACAAGCTCTCCCTGGAATCCTTTTTCAGTACCTGCATGACTCCCCCCTTCTTGATCATATCTATTTATCCCCCCTCCGTCAAGTTGTCCATCCTTCTCTACCCATCAACCAATGCTCTGTGGTTATGATGTTTTCACTGGTTTGTTTTTTGAGGGTACTGCCCTCTTAAAGGTTCTTTTTTTCTTGATGTTTTCTTCATCCTCCTATGAAACTTCAGCTTGACATGGAGGGATGCTGGGTTTTTAATTTTAACCAAATTCCAGGAAGTCTTTCATCAGAAATGATTATCTATGGAATACTGACTCAGCAAAGCGAAGCCTGTTTCTGAAACCGCGCTCCTTAGTGAAATATCTGGACTGCTCGTAATATCTAGAAAATTCTGGACCATGTTTTGTGTTGCCTTCCAAATCATCGTAACTGTTGGTGCTGCAACATCTGCAGCAAACCAAAATGACACCAAAATGCCAACATGCGTACAATGGTATCATGCAAATGCTGTGGCCTGATGCCTAACACACATATGTGTGTTGCAATATTGACACATGTTGTCATTATTTGTCCACTTTTCCAGATGCCCACACTTTGGTGTGTTTTACCTATTTTGAAGAAGAAAAAAGGGTGATGTCTGGAAACAATTCATGAATGTGATTACTTATTTAGGTTTTTTAAAAAAACTGATTGTGCTTCTTTAAAAAAAATAACCTTCAGTACAAGACATATGTCAAGCATTTATAAACTCACATTCAGTTTCTGAAGTATCTCATAAACTGGCTTGTTTTTCCAATCATTACTATTAATATCTGGCTGCTGTTCCAACTCAGTTGCATTTGGTGTGCTGGTTTGCCTCTTGACTTTTGAATGTTTTGGAAGTTCCAGTTCTTCAAAACTCTTAAATTCTGGAGGCCTGCGGAAAGAAATTTTGAAGCCTGAAAAATCTAATGTATGCTTTTATGATCTACCTTTTCAACACGACACTGAACTAAGTAAAATAATCTAGAAAGCCAATTTGAGATGCATTAAGTTATTGTTTTACTAAATTTCAGATATACATACTCTTCTGTATCACTGATTCTTAAGAAATCCAATTGTTCAACCACTGCTCCAGAGATTAATGTCTGAAATAAAAAAGAGGAATGGGAGAGAAAAATAATAAAAGTTAGTAGGAAGATGAGAAATCCATATTTTGCTGTTATATACAGCATTGCGCATTGCTTTTAAAAATACAACCTCAGAGAGAGAGAGGGAGATAGACTATAGACAAACAGATACTAGATAGAGACAGACAGATGGAGGGAGGGAGTGGATTGAAAGAGAGAGAGATTTGAAGATGTACTAGCAAACTTTTATACATAGTTTATTCAAATATATGCTGTTTCTGGACACACCTTTTCAAATATCTGCTGTCTGGATTTAGGAGATCAACAGATACTAGCAGACCCTGCTCACTGTTGCTCATACATGTTAGCAGATTGTGCCAATTTACCATCACTGAAATCTGTGGCACATTTTCTTTCACCTCCCTTTCTTTTATAGCAGTGACATTTCAGTTTCTGTATAGGTTAAACCAGAAAAAAATAAGTAGGTTCTATAAAATTTCCTCCCACCCCTTGGAATACTTTCTTCTTTAGGCTGGATATCCAGGTTGGGTATTGATACAGAATGATGCCACCTATGCCCATTAGTGTTGGAGATGTAGGTAATCATTTCACTCCAAAGTGGGTTGTCCTCCAACATTGCTACAGATCAGTCTGGATAACCAATGGGGTATTTTTTTCTCCTTGCAATTTGTCAAGCGGAGACATTTTGGAGAACAAACGTTAGCTGCTGAGGAGGACAGCAATGCTCCTCCAAGTAAGGCCTTCTTTCAGCAGGTCTTGGTGGGAAAAAGAAGGGACCCAATCTGCCGCTGAACTACAAAGGGAATTAGTTATGTCCCTAGAGGCAGAAAAATGAAAGGAATTTTTAATGCACGCTAGCTGCTTCCTTGATGAATTAACCAAGAGTTGACTGGGTTGATAGTTATACAGTATCTGGCCTTGGGGTATTTAGATGTATTTTTACACTAGTACCATAGCTCTGGTTTTTTTTTTCCCCCAGACGGATGCATATTTCTATTTGCTGACCCATCACCTTCATTCCGGGTGTGAGCAACCGAGTCACTGAAATGTTTTAATGCATGCTAAAGCAGAGAGTAATCTGCAGAACTTTTAGTACAGTTTTAGCATATCAGAAGTTTAGCAGCAGACGGTATGATTTTTATTTCCTCAAATTAAAAAAAAAACAAAACTCCTGCATTTCTGTTCCCAGTTATCCTAAGAGATAAGCATCTCTGAAACTTTAACTCTCAGCATATAATCCCAAATCTTTAAAACTACTTGCACAGGTTTTCAGCAAATTCAGGGCAAACTTGCTATCTTTCCTTAGCTCAGCATTTCTCAAAAATACATTCAGGATATTAATCATGGACCCTTATTCCTCCTGTCCAGGCACAAGGCGGAGCAACTGACCTTTAACTCTTGGGGTGATAACTCCTCTGCTTACCTACACAGTCTCTAGTCCAGTGTTCCTCAACCTCAGCAACTTTAAGATGTGTGGACTTCAACTCCCAGAACTCCCCAGCCAGCCCTGCTGGCTGGGGGGGTCTGGGGGGTGTAGGTCACCCATCTTTAAGTAGGCTTGGTTTAGGGGACCAGGGATATAGGATGTGGGGGGA